GTTGGCTGGGAGGAATCTGGAAGGAGACAAATGGACATTGACTGTCACACCAGCTGCTCTCCAGTTGGGAATGGGATTTGCTGGGACACATTTCCTGCAGCAGCTTTACTGGACTCACTGCAGGGACCATTACTGCTCATGGCAGGAGCAGGTACTTGGTCCTGAAAGTGACTGTGGCCTGATCCCTGATTAAACAGGGACAGGGATGGTCCCACGGGATGGAAGGGACATGGCTCATGGCACTTCTTGCCACCCCAGGAGGCCCTGGAGACTCACACCTCTCCTTGCTGAGCAGCTCAGCTTTGAATTCAGGTGGAGATGGTTTGTGTGGGTGTTTCTGCTCTGCTCAGAAAGACCAAACCAACTGAAAACAACTGAACTCCTGATATTTTAAATGCTAGAGGATACTTACAAGTACTCGGCCCATGGATATTCCCTCCACGCTTCTTTTTCAATGGAAGAAATGGAGTTGCCAGTGAAATTTCTGCAAAGAAATGATTGACAAGGTCACCCCTTGGGAAAAACCCCCTTCCCTGCAGCTTGGGCTGCCAGGGAGGAACGGGAGTTTGCCTGGAGATGCCCCAGCACGGCCAGCCCAGCTGCACCCCTGGCCCTGCAGCACAAATCCTCAGGGCAAGATGTCTCCTGCTGGTGACTCTTTCTGGGGTGTCCTGGGGGGAATACCAGGAATAAGAAGCTCAGGAGGGGAATCATGGAATGGTTTGGGTTGGAAGAGCAGGGACATGTTATTAAATAAATGTTTCCCCCCACACACACACACCCCTCCTGGTCTGGGGGGCCTGGTGCCCCTTCCCGCTGCTCGTGCTGCTCCTCAGGTTCATCCAGAGACACAAAACCTCCTTCATTTCATGCTAAAGCTGTTAAAAAAGCCTTTGCTTTACACCCTGAGCATGTCCCAGCTGCTGGGAGCTGGGGTGAAACCCACGTGGTTCAACACATGGATACAAGACTCAGGCTTTTTTCTTCAAAAGGAGTTTAATAGAATCCCAGACTGGGTTGGGTTGGAAGGGACCTTAAAGCTCATCCAGTCCCACCCCCTGCATGGGCAGGGACACCTCCCACCAGCCCAGGCTGCTCCAAGCCCCATCCAACCTGCCCTTCAACACTGCCAGGGA